AATAAGAGGCCATGCGCTTGCTTGTTTCAAATCTTACATTACTAATGGGTATCAGTATGTCACCATTAAAGACCAGCATCAGCAACACGGCCACTTGATACTGGAGTTCCGCAGGGGAAATGTCCTTGGTCCCTGCTCTTCCTCATATACATCAATGACCTTCCAAACGTATCCCAACACCTGAAACCCCTTCTCTTTGCTGATGACACGACTTATTTATCTCTCACCCTAATCTTGCCACCCTCAACACCCTTGTGAATGAGGAGCTGATTAAAATATCGACTTGGATGACAGCCAATAAGCTTACGCTTAACACTGACAAAACCTACTATATTACGTTTCGTAGCAGAGCAGGAGATGCACAAATTAACATTAAGATTGACAACACTAATTACCAGAAATAATGGGGGCAAATTCCTAGGCTTATACCTTGAAAACAACCTGAATTTCAGCACCCATATCCAGCATATAACCAAAAAAGTATCCAAAACGGTTGGGATCCTCTCCAAGATACGATACTACGTCCCGCAAAATGCCCCTCTCACACTATACCACTCGCTTATTTATCCATACCTCACCTATGCTATTTGTGCTTGGGGATCAACTGCATCAACACACCTAAAGCCAATAATAACCCAACAAAAAGCTGCAGTAAGAATAATCACAAAATCCCATCCCTGGCAACACACCCCCCACTCTTCATAGACCTAAACTTACTCCCTGTTCAGTACATCCACACTTACTACTGTGCAATCTACATCTACAGGGCCTTAAACTCTAATATCAACCTTGACCTAAAATGCTTTCTTGATAGTTTTGACAGAACCCACAGGCATAACACCAGACACAAACATCTCTACGACATTCCCCGTGTCCGACTAAACCTTTACAAAAATTCAATGTATGTCGAAGGCCCTAAAATCTGGAATACCCTACCTGAGAACTCTAGAACTGCAGACACATTCATCACCTTCAAAACTACCATTAGAAAACATCTTATCTCCCTGATACACCCTGTCAACTAACTACACGAATACCACCTGGTGGTTCACACTTACACTCACTGACTCATTTGATCATAAACAGAAATATTAATCTCAATCTTAAAATAATGAATCCTGTGATACTCCAATACTGAAACTATGTACTGTGCCAAAACAAAGGCATTTACATTGCTAAACTCACAAACTAGTATTTAGTCACTTAGCCATAATACCAACTTACCTCATAATTTGTAATATTTTACAATTAAGAATAAAACAGTCTGCCCGAAATGCCTAGCCATGCTAAGCGTTCTAGTGGTACACTCTGTAATCACTATTTTACTACATGTAAACCACACAATAACCAAATTTCTGTAAACTCAGCATTGTAATCCTTATAGAGAATAAACCTTGAATTTGAATAAAGATACCTGAAATCCGCAGGTAAGGGTTCCTATGGACTAGAGGGGTTAGATAAGTCCACATGCGGTGGCAGCGGAAAACGTTCAAGCAGCGAAGGAACGGTGCGCTGCGAAGAAAGGAGTTGCGCAGATGGAGGAGAGGAGAGAGAAGGAACAGAGGGTGGATCAGTGTCCATTGATGGTTTGGTCTCTGCAATATATTCAGAGATTGCTTCAAGTGTTTCGGAATTCAAAAACGTCATATGGGAGACGATATTGGAGATGGTAGGAGGATGATTAGTAAAGATTGGAACTGTAATGGACTGTACCAAGGTAGGGGGGGGGGCGAAAGGGTGGAGGGAGCTGGAGAAGAAGCGTGGAAGGGGACAGAAGAGGCAGAAACCTGGGAGGTGGTAGAAGAGGAAGAAACTTGAGAGGGAACAGGGGAGGAAGGTACAGTTCGAGGAGGAGGGCGAACCTCTACACTTGTAACAGAGCCAGTGAGAGAGGAAGAACCAGGTACAGAGACAGGGAAGGTAAAATGAGGAGGTGGAAGAAGGGAAGGAGGGGTTAAAGGAGTTTTTTTTTTTGACTTCTCAGAAGTAGAGGGACAATTGGGAGGAGGTGTCGTACAAGATCTCGTCGATACTGAGGCTTGCGAGGGAAAACGCTAAGAAGCGAGAACAGACGAGGCATTGAAGTAGGGACGTCTGAGCCCCGGACAGGAAAAGAATTAGATACAGGAGTGACTATGGAGAGGTAACCACAGAGGAGGCTGCAGAAGATGGGACCCCAGAAGTGGGGGGACGTTTTGAAACAGGAATAAGAAACACGAGGTAGTCTCCCTTGGAGGTGGAGATGAGAAACTGCCATGGCATAAGGGAGACCTTCTGCCTCTGAGGTAATGGATTTCCTGCTCATTTAAGTAGACTTGGCAACGGCGAGAGTACGAAGGGCGAGCCTCATGACAATTAAGGCAAGAGGGAGGTCGATTGCAAGACGTATTAGAATGGTCATCGGCACCACAGACTGGGCATTCGGCTACAGATTTGCAATATTTCGCTGGATGGCCAAATTGCCAGCAATTTCTACACTGTTGTGGTGTAGGGATCACCTTTCGAACTTGTAACCGATGTCCTGCTACAAACTGAGGATGGGAGTTCATGGCTGTCAAAAGTTAAACGAGCCACATTGCTAGGGGTATCATCTCTGCCCGCGGGCAGGAAGAACATAAGTGTCTACCTTGAGGATTGGGAAATCTTGGAGTTCCAGCTGTTCAAGAATGTCATTGCCACATGTCTGGAAATTTTGTTGAACTATGGTATGGGGCAGAATGACTGTACCACTACAAGAATTGAGGGAAATGTTTTTCAATAGTGACAGGAACAGTATCGATATGGGAAAGAAGAGAAAGATCCTGAGCTTGGGTAGCATTCTGTACAGTGATGATGCGCGTACCACTCTTAAGAGCACGAAAATAAATATCTTTACCAACATGGCGTAGGAGTGCCTTGCCAACGCTATGGTCGGAAAGATAGGCAATAGAGGAAGTCTGTCGTAAAGTGAAGAATTTAGTCCATTGTGCATTCTGAAACCGAGCGTGGAAAGGGAGTGCAGGACGTGTTGATCTTTTCTGAGAAGAACGAGAAGGTGGAGAAGTATCATCAGCAGGTAATTGTCGTTTAGGCGTGGGACCAGAGTTGGTCCGATGTGGAACGGGCCGGTGATTCAAAAATTGCCGCACCATAGAGGGAGAGGCTGGAAGCATAGTCAAAGGAGAGCAGAGGTCAGACAAATCGAAGGAGTCAGTTGAGACCTCAGTGCCTGAAGCGGGTGAGGAAACAGCACCGGCAAGAGGTACAGAGGCATTAGGAGTGTCCAAAGAGTGGTCCAAAGACGAGGCAGGGTCAGAACGGGGTGTGGTATCAAGAAGGGGCCCGAGGGTAACAGGTTCATGGACTAGGGCTTCCATGGTTAGGTTACTTCTTTCTTTTTATTTTTAAGAAAAAAAAAATAAAAAAAAAAAAGAAAAAAAGGGGGGACTGGGGAGGGATAAATTTTCCCGGGAGGAATGAGAGGGCCAGAAATCTCCCTCCGTGCCTAAGAGGACCTCAGCACCACAAGTAGTGCAGATGCAGCATGGAACCCGTGCCATACCCTACCCATCATGCCAGTAAACCAGCAATCCGGGATAGCAACCTCACGTCTGCCGAGCTACCTCGGTGGACAAAAGAGGGCGGCCAGATATCTGCCAAAAAGCATACCTCCTTTGGCCACCACCCCTGGAATCCGAAAGGCAGCCTCCAGAGATACACCCATCGCCCGAAAGATACCCAAAGCCACTCCCCGGGAGACCGGAGAGGGATCGGGACATCCCCAGGTAATCCAGAGTCCACGGCAAACTACACCACTGCCAAGAACCTCAACGGAATGGGATGGACCCCAGTACCCTTTCCCCTACCCAGGAACTAGCGTGCCTGTGGAGGAAAAAAAAAATAGGAAGGGTAGTAGGGAGGGGTGGGGAGGAAGAGGAAAAGAAAAAGGGAGGATGGGATAAGGGAGGGGGGATTGGGGGGGTAATTAGGTTCGGTCTGAGGAAGGAGACCAACATGTCTAATTCCTCAGACCAAGAGCCTCTTCACCACGTCAAGGTGCCCCCCTTGAAGAGTGGGGGTGCATAATAAACATATTAAACTAACAACCGGAGATTCGAACTCAGTGCGAGCCAAGTGCGTCAGCGATCGTGTGCGTCAGCTATCGTGTTACGGGACTGATTACATAGTCTTTACATTTCTACTGCTTTTGCTGTCTTTTCTGTATTCTACTACAGAAGCCTGTATACCTGGAGAAGAAATTGGCAAAATTGAAAAATCAATTTTCATGCTATAATGTCTGAGAGCTTCGTCTAACTGGCTTCACTCTTCAACACTGATATCTTGATAATTCAAATACCGACTGGCTTCAAACTTGCTATGCTGGTGTTTCTTACAATATTAGTTTGGCTTTAAAGTTGGTGCTTCTTAGTGAAAGGGAGGACTTAATTTAGGGCTGTGTATGTGCTTATTTACCATCTGGGAATGCTAGATTTCGGGAGATAATTTGTAAATACCAAATTTGATTCTTTCAAATCTTCAACCTTAATATTTAACCGATTTATAAACTTATGCCCCTCTGTGTTAATCTTCCCGTGTACACTTACGTACACTGGGTCGGGGGTTATGCAATACAGGGGTAGCTTAGCTACCGAAATACATTTAGTTTTGTTCGTCTTGTGGACCAACGGGCCCCACCACTAAGAACATACCTATTAATGTGCATCATGCAGTCACAGGCAGACATCTGCTACAGAGTACACTGGATAAGTAACCTTCGCCTCAGCATCTATCTGAATTTCTTGGGATCTATGTAGGTTCTCGGCACAAGCAGAAACCTATGTCAATGTCTGGCATGACGTAAAGGTTAACTTCTGAAGTGTCTGGACTACAGGGTGAACAAAAATACAGTGGACCAGCGACAACAAAATACATTGGACCCCCTCCCCACACACCCTATCTAAGTTAACATATTTCTCCAGCTTAGTGGACTATCGTTCTATCTCTTAAAGCTTCAATGTTACCATCCTCAGTCATTTTAAGACGCAGAAGTGATGGCAACGCCGAGGTGGTGGAGAATATTTGTTTCAAGTTGTCTTGTTGTGGTCCACCTTCCATCACGGTCTCTCCCAGTGCTGATGTATTACTGCTGCCTCCAGAGTCACCATAATGAACACCTCCACTGTTGCCACTGACCACCGCAGTTATGGACGTGTTCCTGGAACTATCTCGTGAAGCAGTTCCAGTCTCACTCGCTGCTGCAGCTTGAAACTCTGATGTCGCTGTAAACTCTGCCGCTACTTCTTCATACAGGAAGATCAACTCCCACACCTAGGATTGAGATGTGATTTGTGGGTATGATACGATTTGTAGACATAAGGAATCTAAGTTTATTCTGTTTAATATCACACACACACAAAAAATACATTCTTTCACGTTTCACACAAATAGTGCAGATATACAAAACAGTTAATGATTTAGTTAGAAATCATGCTAGGAAGGTTCAACTCACTCTTGTACCCGTCCAACCTATATTTAAAACTACCCAAATATTTTGCCTCGGTAACACTACGTGGGAGTTTGTTCGACTCGTCTACGCGTCCCAACATCCTTCTATATCTAAAAGTCTAACTTTCAACCGTGGCTGTGAGTCTTATCTTTGTAAAATATATTTTCAACACACTATTTATATTGCCTTAATTTCTGCTTTTCAGTTGTGCACTTCAATCATATCTCGACTAATATTACGCTTTTCCAGAGGAAAAGTTTTTAATACATATCAACTTAGTCATCTTTCACTGCATATAAGATATATATACATATATAAGCTTGCCTAACCTATAGGCATGACATACTTCTACTAGTTGGGTTTTTCACTGGTGACTCCACCTACCACTGCTACATCCAATATCTGCTGTATCTAATAGATAGAAAAGAATAATTTTTTTTATGGAAAGGTTACAATGTGTAATTACAATTTTGATTTGCTAAGTACAAAGAAAGTCACTATCATGCTGTGACATTTCGGGGAGACTAATCCTAGTACATAATAACTAAAGTCTAGGCAAGATAAGAGTGGCTGACTTTTTAATAAATCTATCATAATACGAATGCGAAGTAGTCAAGGTGGAGGGTTATAAGAATAATTATCTAAGTTGCTAATATGCTGCAGTTTCATCAAGATTGATGGAATAAACACAGACTCCAGGCTTAGGGACCGATTACCTCACTCTTCGTCTTACAATGTTTCTCCGCATCGGGCTGAAGCCACCGACTGGAGAAAGTTTCCAGAATAAACATACCGAAGTGTTGCACAAGTATCTTGTTTATCAACATAAACATTGTGTGATACAGCAACACTAATATATCTTCACACAAGAGGACATCTACAGTTATTGTTTAAAAACTTGCCAACATGTACTTTAGAGCAAGAAGAATTCAGTAGCGGAGTCATGGTTATATTCTGTGGCTGGATTAAATATAACAAGATGCAGAAATAAAAAATAATCTCTAGGATCTTTTTTTTTTTTTTTTTTTTTTTGCAGAATGTGAAATTACTTAAAAAATCGTGCTTTTTTGGGTCACCGGTCAATGTAAAACGGTAAAAACAATAACTGAAAAACAAAAGTATTTGCCTCTTCTTCCCCGTGACTGCGCCACTGGATGGCTCGAATTTAAGAAAAATCTGTCTAGCTTGGGCCAGTAGGACTACCGCAATGCTCCTAGATTCTTAAGTTTTCACTTCTACTAGTGGTCCCGGCCTCCTGTGAGGTCACCTCCAGCTGCCGAACCTCACTTCCCACTTCAGTATGCAAGGCTCCATTCATATGCCTGTAGTTCAAATTAACAGACAGAACTGAACACCAAATTCTCTCTCCATATCTGCAACCGAATTATCACAAAACTCGAAATTTATGCCTTAAAAATCTTCCAAAATTTCTACGTATATACGAGTGACAAAAACATGGACATGGTTGAAACTGTATGCGGACAGCCACACAAAATTCGCCATGGAAATAGAAGACAAGAGGAACGACACAGAGGTCTATGACCAAGTGGTCAACATTCACGAGTCTATGGTATTTATTTTGTTCAATGCTTCTCCAGCATTACACACAATTACACTTCTAATTACATTCATAGCCTATCGACTACACAAGGGTTATTAAGGCTGCATGTCGCCTGTATACAACCAGTCACGAATACTTTATTCTCTACAATGGGGATGAAACTCAATATATACACTAGGAGACATTTAAAGTGTAAATAAAAAGGATCAAGGGAAACTTACACCATCACCTCGGGGATACTCTGCGGCTCTCCTTTGCAAATACTGTTTAAGTATCCCATCCTTCAATTAGTTTAGGTACACAGTGCCTTTTATTTAGCATTAAGTATACCTGTCAGTGTTTACCTGATGTGAAATGTCAGCTCAAGGAATATTAAGGTAGCTCAGATTCACTGGATCAAGATTCCTTTGTTTACATCATGATACTCCCAACCTCTGTTAGGTAAGACACATATGCAACAGTTAGGTATCTTTATTTCGAAACGTTTCGCCTACACAGTAGGCTTCTTCAGTCGAGTACAGAAAAGTTGATAGAAGCAGAAGATACTTGAAGACGATGTAATCAGTCCATCACCCTTAAAGTTTTGAGGTGGTCAGTCCCTCAGTCTGGAGAAGAGCATTGTTCCGTTGTCTGAAACAATATGAAGTTGAAGTGACAGGATGGAGACCATGAACTTCGACAATCTCTACTAGTGAGAACGGCTGGGTTTGAGAGGGACCTGCCCTCCCAACGCAACCTACGTCTCACCTCCTGGCACTATAAAAGGCTCCATCCTGTCACTTCAACTTCATATTGTTTCAGACAACGGAACAATGCTCTTCTCCAGACTGAGGGACTGACCACCTCAAAACTTTAAGGGTGATGGACTGATTACATCGTCTTCAAGTATCTTCTGCTTCTATCAGCTTTTCTGTACTCGACTGAAGAAGCCTACTGTGTAGGCGAAACGTTTCGAAATAAAGATACCTAACTGTTGCATATGTGTCTTACCTAACAATCTGTCGGTATTTTATACCATTTTAATGTTCACTCCCAACCTCTCCTGGACAACTATCACACCTTGAGTCACTATGTGCGATAAAATTAATGAATTCTGAGACTGCACACTGTAAATAACCAACAAGAAACCTTTTTACAAGCATACCTTGTAAAATACAAGGCAACATATTTGTGA